TGTAGGAACTGCTGTATGGAAAATAAATTTGCTCTGTAAACTTTCACTCAAATCATAATTAAAAAAAAAAAAAAAAAAAAAAAAAAAAAAAAGAGTTTGGGCTCTGGTGCCAGGTGACCTGGGTTCAAGCCCCAGCTTTGCCTCTACCCAGCTGTGTAACATTCTGAGCAAGTTAACACACGCCTGTGCAACCAGGTTTCCCACCTGTCGAGTGGGAGATGTTGCCGCATGCACTTCATGGGGTGACATGGGGATACCGGGCTCACACACACGAAGCATGTCAGGTCTAGAGGGGCCAAAAGACAGAGGGAGGAGGGCTTTAGTTTGGGGTGCTAGCACTGGCAGCCCGAGCCGACTCCAGGTGATCTGAAGAACTTCTCCAGGCAAGAGCACCTAGGATGTTTTCACTAGATGGTGTGAGGTGTCTGCTAGTGCCCTGGGTTTGCTACAGAGCCAGGGCTTCTGGACCTGGAAGCTTGCCAGGATTCCAAGAGCCAGCCAGGCCCTCTCCACAGCCTTCTAGCCCCTCATGGAGTCTAGACACAGAAAACTACTCACCCCCTTTCTTTTTCCTGCCCCAGGGCCACATATTTTAAATTTGTCCACAATTGTTCTCATGGGCTTAGGAGGGAGGGTGCAAAAATGGTGGGGAGGCGTGTGACCTTCTCTAACTTCACAAGTTAGAGAATCAAGGAGGATTCTCCGATAATCCGGTCCAACGGCCACAAAGGACTCACAGACCATACTTACGATGATGGCGTTTATTAGGGAAGTAACAGGTTACAGTTCAGCATCAGAACAACTCAGGATACGGTTCTTTGGCCAGGACAGCCTCTTTCCGTCTGTGCTCAGAGACAGGTCTCTCTCTGGTCTTGGCCCCTCGGCCCTGTAGCCCCTTAGCCTGTACCATGCTGGGACACGGTACAAAGCTCTTTTAGCTCTGCCCACAGGTGCCCAGAGAGGTACCGCGCTCCGCCAGCAAGTGTCCTGCCTGAAGGCATTCAACTTTTCTCTGGGAGGGTCTCTATGGCAGTATGTCTCCGAGATGCCCAACAGTCACTGCCCACCCTGTACACAGGCTGCTGCTCACACGTATGAATGGACACCACAGCCTCCCCATGATTCTGCACCGACCCCAGGGCTTGCCTCAACCAACCGATGGGCCAGGACTCCCAACGACTGGCAGCTCCCACCTCCTCCTCGTCAGGAGCCAGTGGCCACACTGCAGGGAGGGCTATGCTAGGCTGCGGGAGATCCTGCATGGAAATCAAGGCCCAGATGCACAAGCAATGCCTTATGGACCTTCCAGACCGGCAGCTGGCTGCATGAGACCAGCAGACGGGCAGTCCAGCCAGGTAATTTCAACTGCCTCATGTCCTAACCCACAGCCTCAGGAGAGAATAAATCATTGTTGCTTTAGGCCACTAAGATGCACTAAAGCACTAAGACACCCTAAAGCAACAGACAGCACCACCAAGGCAACAATCCCACGTCTTAGAAACTGACAGAGTTCAGCAAGCCTGCACGAGAGCTCTTTTCATGATTTTTCTAAAACACCAGCACCACCTGCTGCCCAGTGGACTCTTACTCATGGCGCCCTGCTGTGGCAGAGAACCACTCCCTGGAGTTCTCAGCGGTCGATGTAACAGGCTACAACTCAGGATTGGGATCAGAAAGCCACAGGCCAGGTCTGGAAGGCCCCCCCAAAGCAAAGAGCACACCCCCCCCCCTTCAGTTCAGGATGGCTGTCTCAGCTCTTGTTGGTCCTGCAGGCAGGCCCCTCTCTCTTGGCCATGCAGGCCTCCTCTTGGCTGTGCACTTCCCTCTCAGCCATGGACTCTGGATTCCCTGTTGTCCGCTGGTCTGCTGCTAAGTGGCCCAGCTCATGGCCAGCACAGCAACTTGCTCAGCTCTCAGATGCTTTCCTAGCAGCCTTCATGGCCAGCTCTGCCTCATGGCCTCTTCAGGCCTCTCGCTGTCTTTAGTGTTACAGCCCTTGACCTGTGCCACAACTCTTTTAGGAGGTTCCTGTCTCTGCTTCTTCTCTCTTCTCTATGGGGTTTGCTTATATTGTAAACTCCTTGTCAATTTCGAGGCATGGCCCTCTCAGCAGGACCACACACTGACCAATCCCCACAAGTGACTCAATTCTACTGGGTCAATTTTCAAGCCACTATTTGCATAGCAATTCAACCAATCTCTGCAAAGTGTATAAAATAGACCAATCACAGGGCAGGCTGCAGCCCAGGGCCAGACAGAAGGGATCAAACCATCAAGCTGTTTACAGCTTACCAGAAAATGTCAATTAATGTGGATAAAAACAACAAACCCTAGAAGTTCCTCTCACTCCAAGTTGCTTGTTCAAAGTACTACAGCAAAAGGCCAAAAGGAACTCATTTCACCATGTATCTCAATAAAGCTGTTATTTTTTTTTTCTTTTTAAAGATAATTCTAAAAAAATGCTGGCAAGGATGGGAGAGATTGGGACTCTCATACACTGCTGGTTGTAAAACGATACAACCACTGTGGAAATCAAGGATTCCTTAAAAAGTTGGAAACAGAAATACCATTCGATCCACCCATCAATCCATTACTATATATTCTAAAGATGGAAACAGCCTAAGTGCCTATCAGCCAAGGAACAGATAAACAAACAGTGATCCATACACCCAACGGAATACTATGTAACTCTAAATAATAATGTAGAACCTGTGAAACACCGCAGAACGTGGATGAACTTGGAGGACATGCTGAGTGAAATAAGTCAATCACAGAAGGACAAATACTGTGTTGTTGTTGTTATGTGCTGTCCAGTCGGACCTGACTCATAGCGACCCCTCCTTGGGTTTCTGAGGCAGTATCACTACAGAATTAGATTGCCCTATCTTCCTTCCGAGGAGTAGCTGGTGGGTTTGAACCATCAGCCTTCTGGTTAGCAGTAAGTGCCTTAGCCACTATGCTACCAGAGCTCCCAAATATTATATTAGTCCACTATTACATAAAAAGTCAAGGAAAGGTTTTTACATGAAAGAAAACTTTCTTTGTTGATTACCAGGGATGGGAGGGAAGAGAAGGGCAGAGAAAGCTGCCAGATATGTTTAAAAACAAAACAAAACAAAAATACACACACACACGCACACACACACAAAAGCCCAAAGATTATTAGTGGTTACCAGGGGTAGAGGGGGAAAGGGGAAGCTTCTGTTTGGGGGGCACTGAGTTAGTTGATGCCAACAGGTGGTGGAATATTTTGCAAAAGGATAGCAGTAACACCGGCACAAAATGAAAAATGTCATCAATGTCCCTGAGCTGTAAATGAGGAAGTTGTCATGCTGGCAAATGTCTTGTGTATGTTTTCACCAAAATAAAAGTGGGAAAAAAAAAGATAGTTCTTATCACTTACGTCCACTTAATTAAGAAACCCCTCCCACTGTGGCACAGAGCCCTGGGCTGCCTGCTTCAGCACCACGTGACAAGCTCTTCCCTGCCAGCGCCCCCTCACTCACAGAAACATGCATGCATATTCCAGCCTCCAAGACCAGGCTGGGCAGACTGTCTTCTGCGGCCAATGACCTCCACCTGGCCCTTTCAAAATAGCTGCACCTTACCCGACCGCCCAGTGGACACTGACATCTCCCCGATGGGCCCTTCCACGTCTCGGCAGGGGGTTTGTCCACGCCAGTACCCAACCAGGGACCATGAGCAGACCTCATCCGGATGCTCGACACGTGGCGCGCCTCTGAGCTCTGACACTGCCCTCAGGCCTGGGAGGACGCCTCAGGTGTGGCGCAGGGCGGGAGCGTCACAGGCCCCCAGGAACTGGGGAATTTCAGCAGAATCACCTGGCTTCTGGGGCCTCATTTCTGACAAAGTGGCCTGCCTTGGTCCTCTAGTGCCACTCCTAACAGAAAATACCACAAATGGGTGGTTTGAACAAACAGCGATTTATTCTCGTACAGTTTAGAGGGGCAGAAGTCTAAGTTCAAAATGCCAGCTCTAGGGGCTAGGTGAAAGGCCCTCGACCTTGGCCTTCAGCTCTGCCTCTTGCTCCCAGCCCACTGGAGCTGGAGGCTTCTCCTAAGTTAGGCAGCTCCTGGCTGCTGAGGCTGACAAACCCAAGGTCCATAAGTAAAATGGCACAGTCCTAAGATTATCAAGTGACACGGCAGGCTGCTGAATGAAGACTCAGCTACATGCAGGGTCCAAGGGTGTCAAAAAGCTGCAGAGACCTACTTTAAAGCTTCTCCTTATCTACAGGAAGCAGAGCACTTCCCTAAGGCAGTACTCAGATGGTCCAGTAGATTCCACCATGGAGTTGATGACCAGTCTCATCACAGGGAATCACTACCTCCAGCTGCCCAGCCATTCAGACCCAGCCAAGCTGACACATAACCTCAACTATCAAATGGAGTCCCTGGGAGAGACAATGACAAGAGGGGCTGGCGCCCACAGCATACAGTGCCATGTCCCACTCAAGAGTGGGAAGCCTTGTTCTTCCACCCACCTCTGACCTTCTTACCCCTAGGTCTCTCTCACTGAGCATCAACTTCATCGTTCAACCAAGAGGGATCCAGTACCTCCTCAGCCCTGAGTCAGGGCCGTGGGGTTAGGTAAGAACACCTCAGCAGGCTGACACAGAGGGCACATCTCACACTCACTGAGGACGAGGTCTTGAGCACTCATCCTCTGGGAGAACAGGTAGGTGGCCAAAGCAGGCCCCAAAGGACACACAGGAGTGACTGTGGATGAAGGGGGTCAGCAGTGAGTTATGGGGCAAGGCTAACCCTGCAGCCCGGGGTCTTCACGGTACCAGGCTCCTCCTGTAACACAGACAAACCTGAAGATACCCAGGGTACTGCATGTAGAGCCGACAGAGCTTGGTATCAAACAGTGGATGGCAACCCGACACCCTCCTGGTCTGTAATGAGGGCCCACAGAGTCCAACACTCCCACCTTGCTAGGCCTCTCTGCCAAATGGCTACAGCCCCACCAGGCCTTACCCGGGTCTTGGCCTTCAGGAACACATGGCTCTCCATGTCTTTGCTGGACTTATTGTGGGCCACGCCAGCCTTCCTCATGGCATCCTCGCTGAAACACAAAAGGGGGAGAGATGTTTACACACCCAGCATGTTAGATCCTGTAGGGACCTGGCCAGCAGCCCCTGCCTGGAAGCTGTCCCAGGGCAGCCTTGTGCTGCACAATAAAGGGGTCCTGCCTGCAGCAGGGGCCTGGCACACACACAGAGAGAGGGCTCAGCAGAGCCAGGAAAGGAGCTGGATGGGGGGAGGGCATTCCTGACAAGAGTGAGACCCCAAGAGAGCACAGCATGAGTGAGCAGAAGAACGCTGGGGAGCTGGCCGGCCTCCACTGCCTGCCTGAGGTGGCCCGGCCAGACCCCTCACCTGTAAGATGGAAAGGCTCCTTCCAAGGCAAGAGTCCCTATGGGGGACATGCAAGTTCTCCCAGTGGGACCAAGCCCCAACTTCAACACCTCCCAGCCAGGGAACAGGAGCATGCACATGTGAAAAACACCTTACAACAATGATGAACCTTGAAAACATGCGGAACAAAACCAGTCAGTCGCAAAAGGACACATAATGCATGACTGCATGTATGTGAAATTAACAAAAACCAAACCCACCACCATCCAGCGGCCCCACAGGGTCTCCAAGGCTGTCAATCTTCACAGAAGCAAAGCCCAAACCACAGCACTGCCGTGGAGTCTATTCCAACTCACAGCGCCCCTAGAGGACAGAGTGGAACTGCACCAGAGGGTTTCCAAGGCTGTCAGTCTTCACAGAAGCAAAGCCCAAACCACAGCACTGCCGTGGAGTCTATTCCAACTCACAGCGCCCCTAGAGGACAGAGTGGAACTGCACCAGAGGGTTTCCAAGGCTGTCAGTCTTCACAGAAGTTGACTGCCTCCTCTTTCTCCCCTGGATCAGCTGGTGGGTTCAAACTGCTGACCTTTCAGTTAGCAGCCAAATGCTTTTAACCACTGTGCCACCAGTGCATCTCAGAATCAGTAAAGACAAAGCAAAAGGATGCAAATGTGTGTCCTTGGGAAGTTACAGCTGGGCATGAACTCACAGTGCACCAATGCGGCACAGGATGCAGCAGGTGGGCAAGGGCGGGACCCACCATGTGAGCCTTGCGTGCTCATGTGCAGAGGGAGGCCGGTCATGCAACTTCACAGGGTGGGCAGAGGGCTCCCTCAGTCACCCTTATAACCTCACAGACCCTGGGGGTGCAGATGGTTAACTGCTTGGCTGCTAACCAACCACAAGATTGGAGGTTCGAGGTCACCCAGAGGCTCCTCTATAATAAAGTCCTGGTGACCTGCTTCTGGAAAAGCGGCCATTTAAAATCCCACGGAGGGCAGTTCTACTTCGATGCACGTGGCGTCATGTGACTCAAGCTGACTCAAAAGCAACTGGTACGAAGCTCCCGGACACAGAAGCTCCCAGTGTGTGCTGAACGGGGTCTCCCTAACTCAGCAGCAGCACCCTGGACGCTCCCCCTGGCTCTGAAGTCCGAGGGCCCTCTCCTGAGGAGATGACAGAACACCGGGCTGAGCTGTCTGTCCGGAACCCCAGGTCACCTGCACATACTGCTGGCCCCAAGTCCCAGCTCTAGTAGCTGCACGGTTCTTGGGAAGGGTCCTGGCTCACGTCCCATGTCTCTCCCTGCTCAGTCAGAATTAGATGGTCTTGGCCTTAGCCAGGAGCTCTGGTGGCGTAATGCCTAAAGGCATCTGACTGCTAACCAGAAGGCTGGCGGTTCAAACCCATCAGCCACTCCTTGGAAGGAAGACTGGGCAATCTACTTCCATAGTGACACTGCCTCGGAAACCCAAGGAGGGGTCGCTATGAGTTGGATTTGACTTGACAGCAGTGAGCGTCGTCAGTGGCCTCAGACAGTTACCCGGAAGGAGCGAGTAGCTGGACCTGTGGGCTCAGGAGCATGGTTCCCGAGGACATCAAGCTCAATTGACATAACACACTACACAAAAAACACTGTTCCACATCCTGCTTTGTCGAGTAGAGACTAGGGTCTTAAAAGCTTGCAAACGGCCATCTAGATGCAACAACGGGTCTCTCCTCATCCAGAGCAAAGAGGAATGAAGAAAACCAAAGATGCCTGGAAACAATTAGTCCAAAGGTCTAGTGGACCATGTGATCCACTAGACCATGAGACCTATATGGCCTATATGACCATGAGACCAGAAGAACTAGATGGTGCCCAGCTACCACTGTCAACAACCACTCAGAGGGGGCTGGTGCAGATGATCCCGGATAGAGGAGAGAACAGAGTGGAACAAAACTCAGAAAAAAAAAAAAGACCAGGTTTGCTGGTCTGATAGAGCCTGGTGAGACCCCTGAGACTATGGCCCCTAGTTACCTTTCAGGTCTGGAACTGAACTCACTCCTGTGGCTTCCAGCCAAACAACACACAGGCACATGGGGTGAACGTTTACATCAGATAGATACAGTCCTTGGAACGATCAATCATGGGGGAACAGAAGGGCAATATTTGCATAGGGAGACAGCTCAGGGGGCAGGAATGCATAGGAAAGAAGGACACAGGGAAAAAGGTAACCACAAGAAGGAAGCGGGAAGAAAGCTGTTACATTGTGGGGACTGTAGTCAATGTCCTGAAACAAAATGTGTACAAATTGCTGTGTGGAAAATGAAATTTGCTCTGTCAATTTTCATCCAAATAATAAAAGTTTTAAAACAGAGAAGAACGAGATGGTGCCTGGCTATCACTGCCAACCATCCTAACCAGAGTCATAGGATGGGCCGTGATAGAATGGGAGAAAAATGTGGAACAGAACTTCACATTCCTAAAACAAACAACCAAACAAACAACACAACAACAACAAAACCCAGACTCAGAGACTAGCTGAGACTGAAGGAATTCCTGAGACTGTCATCCTGAGATACTCTTCAAGTCGAGAACCAAACTAAGCCAAATTAACCTTGCAGCTAAGTAACAGACTGGCTCCCAAAATAAAGCATATTAGCTGTGAAGACTTCCTCTAAAAACTCACTTACACGAGACCAAGCAAGCTGGATGATGAATAAGAAAGACCAATGAAGAACTGATGCCTTTGAGTTGTGGTGTTGGGAAAGAATGCTGAAGGTACCATGGACTGCCAAAAGAACAAACAAATCTGTCCTGGAAGAAGTGCAGCCGGAATGCTCCTTGGAAGGAAGAATGTCCAGACTTCGTCTCACCTACTTTGGTCACGTTGTCATCTTCCTTCTGAGGAGTGGCTGGTGGGTTTGAACCACCAGGACCATTCCCTGGAGAAGGATATCATGCTTGGTAAAGTGGAGGGTCAGCGAAAGAGGGGAAGGCCCTCAACGAGATGGACTGACACAGTGGCTACAACGATGGGCTCAGGTACAGCAGGGATCGTGAGGCTGGCACAGGGCTGGGCAGTGTTTTGTTCTCTTGGACACGGGGTCGCTACGAGACAGAGCCAGCTCAACAGCACCTAACAACATATGAGACCAAAGAGTCAATGATCACTTTAAAACAAAGGTAAGAATGTAAGGGGGCAGGGAAACTAGATGAAAGGAAATGGGGCCATCAGAATGGAAATCATGAGAATGTTCATGCATTGTGAGGAACATAACCAGCATCATCAGACAACTTGGGGAGAAATGGTTGAATGGGAACTAAAAGTGCTGTGTCAACCTTCACTGAAAACACAACAAAATATTAAAAAAAAAAAAAAAAAAGAAAGAAGAACTGGAAGAGGGGGCCTCACGGGCTGACATGCAAACATCAGGAATGCCAGAGAGTGGGCACAGAGAGTAGAGGGAATGAGAGTCTCAGGAAACATCTCTAAGGACCTTCCTTCAACCGAAGGACGTGCACGTTGGGAGTAGATGTGCTCCCACACACAGATGCATGACGTGAGACTCCAAGCCAGGATGCCACAGTAGCTATGATGGCCGACACGCAGGACGAAGACAGCACCAGAGCCAGTCTTTGAAATCCTCAAGGAAGACACTGCCAACTGGAATGTTATGGTCTTCAGAACCATAACACCCACGAGCCATTCCCTTGGGAAGTGAGGGGAATGAGGGAACACACAAGAAAGACAGACAAGGATACAGGAAACAGGAAAGCCAGCACAGGACAACGATCAGTGTTGAGACAGGCACTCGAGGGGCAAATATGCTGCGGGCCGTCACCATCAAGCCTCCAGTCACCATACCATGAGGGCTCCAGGAGGGAGAGGCCCAAGGAACAAATTAGGACCCAAAGACAGCCTGACATCGCAGGGGACATCAAGCTCAATTGGCATAAGAGACTACACAAAAACATTGTTCCACATCCTACTGTGGTGAGTAGCGACTGGATCTTAAAAGCTCGCAAGCTGCCATCTAGATGCAACGATGGGTCTTCCCTCATCCAGAGCAAAGAAGAATGAAGAAAACCAAAGATGCATGGAAACAATTAGTCCAAGGGACTGGTACACCATGTGATCCTCAGCCTATATGACTATGGAACCAAAAGAACTAGATGGTGCCCAGCTGCCACTGTCAACCACTCGGAGGGGGAAATCTATG